GCGCGGCTCGCGCGCGCCGCTTCTCCCGCCCGGCGTCTGCAGCAGCGTTCCTCAGCCTCGGCCACGGCTAAGCCTAGGCGGACCTCAACTCCCAGGATTCTCGCCAACGGCTGTGCTGGCAGTGGGATTCTGGGAGTTGAAGTCCACAAGCTGAAAATGGCCACGGTTGGGAAACACTGGCCTTACTGACTGGTTGGAGACGTTTTCCACTGGCTGGGGACGATTGGAAGGATGAGAGGAGCAAAGCAGGAGGAACCCAACCGTACTGTGGTTTTACTTTTCGCATCCCGCAGACAATAAAGTAGAGCCCCACCTTTAGGTTTGCAAACCAGAGTAGAGGAAAGCTAGGGTATTAAATTTCAAGGGAAAAGCAGAAAAAGAAAATATCTGAATGGTATAGGAGAAAGAGTCAGAAATAAAAAAAGAAGTATCCAGAAGAGTATGCATTGCCCCACCTTTAGGTTTGCAAACCAGAGTAGAGGAAAGCTAGGGTATTAAATTTCAAGGGAAAAGCAGAAAAAGAAAATATCTGAATGGTATAGGAGAAAGAGTCAGAAATAAAAAAAGAAGTATCCAGAAGAGTATGCATTTAAATCCTGCTTGAACCACCTCAGTGCTCTCCACTGAAAAGCATTCTGCTTCTAGAATCTTAGCATTGTCCTTGGGGAATTCGTCCCATCCCCAAAGACTGGTCTTGAGCTCTTAAAATAGTATTTTCCCTCTTCTCCTGGCACAGTTTTGCCATGATCATGATCTAGGTCAGTGTTCCTCAGTCTCAGCAGCATGACGATGTGTGGACTGTGGACTTCAATTCCGGGAGCTGAAGTCCACATGTCTTCAAGTTGCTGAGGTTGAGGAACAGCATCAAAGACAATGGAGGAGCGGAGCCGTGTCAGTCAGTCAGCGGCAAAAGCAGGAGGAGTCCAGTAGAACTTTTTCCGACTGACAACGTGTTATTACAATTGCTAAACTCACATCAAGAGGTTTCAGGCAAACTCAGAAGGTCTCAACAAATGCAATGGGTTTAACACATTGCAATAGTCAACTATTGCACAACCAACCTATCTCCCCTCCCTCCCCCCTATTTGAATTCCGCATCAGCTCATGAAAACTGTAGAGAGCCTTTGAATAACATTTGTCAGTTGGAAAAGGCACTACTGGACTTGTCCTCTCATTGACAATGTCACTGATGAGGCAGTCGGAGGCTGGCTCTGCCCAGATCCAGATACTGGCCACGCTGACATCCCCTCTGGTCCCTGAGATCCACCCTCTGGGGCCATTTCGTCTGGGGCCGCAGGAGAGGCTGGGCACCCGGTTTCTGCAGAGGCATCTACCCGCATAATGCCTGACGGGGGCTTCTCAAATGCTTGTTAGGTTCTGAGCACTGAGCATCGACTGAAATGGGAAGGAGACCCGGATTCTGCCCAGCATTGCTGGTCTGGTTTGTGGGAGGGGGAGGGGGAGGGGAGTGGCACCATTTGACCTAATCCGTACCAGCTGTGGCAGCACTAGATGCCATGGTGATGGCGCCTGTAATTCTGTGCGGCTCGGTCAAAATTGGGCGGCTGTTCACTGTCTGCTTCTGGGTGGTGATGGCTGCAAGGCCAACCTGGATCCCTTTGCCCCTCCCTGCCAGCTCCACCATTCCTTTGCAGGACAAGTTGAGGACGGAGCGTGCCCATTATGTCACCTCCCATTTCACCCCATGCCTACAACCTTCCAGCTGGGCTATTTTGGGACCTGAATTTGACACCCTACCAGACGAGCAGTGCATGTTTTCCAAAGTAGACTGACCCACAGGGCGGACTCTGCTCCTGCCTCCTGTTAGGTGGTTTATTATTAACCCCCCTTTTGAAGCCTCTGCCCAGAAGGAGAGCGTTTGCTTTCCTTCTGAGAGGCAAAGGTTGGCGGGAGGAGAAATGAAGCCCAAATCTGCCCATCGTTTCCCTAAACTTGGTTTGGAGTGAAAGCCACACAGTGACAGGCGCCCTCACCTGGCCAGGGGGCAGGAAAGTTTGCCCAGCATCCCCTTCTGACAGCTCAAGGACTGCGTGCATGTGGGGGGGGGGAGGGAGGCTGCTAGCCCATCTGGAAGACCCTCTGCCCGCTCCTCAGCTGGCTGAGCTCCTGGGAACAGGAGCCTCAGAGCAGCCCGGGACCAAGAAAAGACCTTCCTGCTCCACAGCCCAAAAAATCCTCAGGCTGTTTCTGCTCCCCTGATCTCCCAGGCTTGGTGTTCTTTTTAGCATCCTCTTTGCAGCTTCCACATAGTCTTTTTCAGATCTTCTGTACGCTCTTTATTCTGCTTTTCATTATTTATGCTTCTTTTTCTCCTCCCCCTCCCCCTCCTTCTTTTTCCGGTGTCTTTGTTCTTTTTCCTCGCTGGGATTTTTGCAACTGTGCTCTTACATATCTCCTTTTTCAGGAATTCCCACCCCTACAGGACCTGACAAGCAAGACCTCCTCCCCAACCTGCTGCCAGAGACTTTTCCCTTTAGTTGTTCTTTCATGGTATCTATTCTGAGGTTATTTAAAATCCCCCTTTTCGACGTCTGAAAGCCGTCTGAGTGGTTCCCCTTCCAAGGAAGGTCTCTCCCTTCATGTGGTCACCTGCCCCCCCTTGGTGCTCCTACTAAGCCTCGGCATTTGTAGTGGGAGGCAAGGAGAGTAGATGACAGCATGCTGGCACGCACAGCATGACACACATTCTTGCATCAGACATCAAGATGCCATCTGTGTGTCATTCTGACACCTTTGTGGTTGGCTGTGGACATTTTAGCTGCTCACTCCATTTCCCCAAAGACAACCAACCCCTCTTTGCTTCCCCCACCTTTCAAAGAAGACGGTTGACAGGCATTTCCTGGAAGAATCATGCTTGACAGAATTCCATGCCTTTTTGAAAGATGTGCCTTTGCTTTTGGAAGCCTTTTCTTTGTTGAGCTGGTGCCAGCAGAGCCAAACAAGGCTACTGCTTTTCTGTGTTCCTCCAATAATCATTTGTTAAATGATTAAAATTAACTATACATGGCAGACTAAAATTAACTATACATGGACCATAACTAATCAGTATTTTGAATTCTCCCCTCGGCCAGCACAGACGGAGCACATCCTTCGTCCGAAGGGGTTCCAGAGACAGAATACGTCTTGCCTCTGCCGCTCATCCATCTTGGGGATCCTCTTGATAGTTCGGGAGATGAAACCTCGGATGTTGATCCTGAAGTTGGGGAAGCCTGCATGGCCCAGGCAGACCTTCAGATGGGTAGTTCTCAATCATTTAGGGTTGAAAGACTAATGCCATGGGTGTGACACGATATGAACACTGATAGTGGTTTCCAGACCATCTTTAAAGTTCACTGCTGAGACAGTGGCAGTGGATTTCTGGGTTAACAGTTTTCTGAAATGGTGTCAGTGGAGATCTTTATCTTTAGCCATCCTGTTCTTCCTCCATGTGGTGTTCAGAAAAGGAAGAGCGTTGATTGGGCTTTTATTTGTTATACGCCAGCTTCCCTGTACTTGTCAGTTTCAATCCTGGACCAGTTCCATTCCCACCCCGCTGCTCCTTTGACGTTATTTTTCCTCTAGTTGCTGATGTGCTGAAGAAGGACGCAACAAAAACAGATGTGAAGATCAACACTCTTTGCCTACAATGATTGATCCAAATCAGGACAACACCATTTGGGAGTGACTTGGAACAGACACCACTGAGGCAGGACAGGGATTGGCAAAGGGTAGAACAAATGTTATGCCAACATTGTTTTATGCCAATACAAGGAGGGGAAAATAGCTTGCTTGCTTGCTTTCCCTTCCTTCCTTCCTTCCTTCCTTCCTTCCTTCCTTCCTTCCTTCC